AAAAAAAAAAAAAAAAAAAAAGACAGTAAAATATATTAGCAGTATTTCAGTCACCTAATTACCAGATTTACTAGTATGCTTAGTACTAGTAAATTTCTACAAATAATCATTCTTAGACCTTAACTTATAAGTAGTTAATAATTTTCTAACAATTCATCAACTATTCACAAAAATTCAGATCATAACTGAAATACTTTACCTAAATAATGTATTTTTAGTCCTACATTTTAACAGCAAGAATTGATGTCATATCTAAGAATTTAATATCTACGTTACTGAACATATTTACTATTTCTGTTAAATCCAAAAAGCTTAAAAGAGTGAATTTTCACACCCAGAAAAGTGATGGTGCATGTTCCACTTAACTTTTCATGACAGTACTCCTTTACACTTAGCTTTAATCTTATTTTTATCCTTTGGTATATAAGGCAGCAACTAGAAAGAAATCTGTTAGCCTCAGTCTTCCATTCTTCTACCTTAAAATCTGAAGAATAAGATTAAACAGCAAAGAAAGTTTAAACTTTTTTTTTATTTGCTAAGTAAAGCAAGCTGCAAGTGATCTGCAATTTTTATAATTAATTAGAAAGTGTAATTGAGTACCTAGTATGTGCCAATACTATAATACCGTAAGAGCAGAAGAACTCTCAATTTGTATTAAATCAAGTTCTTAACAGTGAAGTAAGGAACTACAGATACACCATGAATTTAGAAACTGCAGATAATTGCAATACAAAGGCTTCACAAGGTCTTGGTTTGAACTAAAACTTAAAAGTCTGTAGGACTTGATAAGCAAAGAGGAAAAAGGCAGACTATTGAAGGGAGACAAACAGAAACACACAGGAAAACTGCCTCCTTGGAAGATGTAGCAGTTATCAGCGCCTGCTAACAGTCCAGCAAAGATTACTTAAACTTGCAATCAAATCTCAACACAATATGACAATGACCCCAATCTATCCTGCTTCTTGCTTAAACGAAATTTCTACAGCAATCACTATAGTTTTAGTCACTTTTCTATCTGCCAACCCATACTTTTGCTAGAATGTTCATTCTCCCCTTACTCTTCCCACAAAATTCCGTGTTTTTATAGCTTTGGAAAGTCATTAAAATCTACCCCTTTTTTGGAATTTCTCTTTACTACAAGCTCTTCATCCCTTAAACTCCTAAAGAAACACATTATAATTACTGATTTCTAGCTTAGAGAAAGGGAATAATTTCTATCTTCAAAACAACTACCATTTGAGTATATAAGTCACTCTATACTTCATTCTCCACAGTAATTTGAAGAGATGAATATCATCAGTACCATCCAATACTACAAAGAAGTCCCCTTTCAGGCAATTTTTAGATAGCAAAACCTTTCTTCATTTTAATTAACATTAAACATTGGTTTTGTTTTAAAAGACTTGCTTTTTAAATCTTATAAAAATATTAATTTAGATAACTGCAAACAGAATAACTACTTTTAAAAATATCTACTTTTTCAGTAAGAAAAGGAATTAATGGTCCCTTTTTAAAAGTTAAATGTGTCATTTTGTCTATATGTCTAACAGCCTTCCACATTTTAATAAAACACTGCCCCGATGTATGTTATTATATGCACTACTGTACATATAAATGTTTAATTTTTGGTGAACAGGTTAATTTTTGGTAATGCACTTGAAATTTTAATGCTAATTATTTCTAACATTTTGGTAAAACAGAATAAATAAATATTGCACTGAAGCAATGTACTTTAAGTATGAGCTTTGAAGTAAGAAAAACATGGCAGGAAATCCTAATTTTATCACTAACTTTGTGATCTTAAACAAATGACTAATCCTCTCAAAACTTTTACCTGTAAAATGGAGAAAATATCTGCTTCAAGAATTGTGAGAATTAAATGAAATAATGCCAGTAGAACATAATAATCGAAACACAATCATAAATTAGCTAACACTTAGGAAGCACCTATAACCCCAGTACTTTTTAAGCACTTTACATGCAATTAGAAAATAGGACTGTTATCCCCATTTTACAGAAAAATGCAGAGCCAAGGAGTTAACTTGTGGAAATATTCAACAACAACAACACTCAATAAATGGGTGTTGGTCTATTACCATTCGTAACAATATTAAAATTATTGTCAATAGCTATTTAAAATGACAGTAAACTTAACTTGCCATTATAAGATCTCAAAGTGTCTTTACCTATAAAATGTGAACTGAGAAAACAAATGGCAATTTTTAAACTAATTCATATCTAACATTAAAAGGTACAAACTACCTTCAAAAGCTAATAACTATAAAATCAAAACATACATGTGTCCACACGTGCACTCACATGTGCGTGCACACACGCACACACACAAACACCTACACAGCCAAAGGGCGCGTTTTTGTATATAAACTTTCTGAGTACCTGAGTTTCCATACATAATTCACAAAACAGGAATGATTACAGTGGCTCCTCTTAAAAGCATTGTACAGCAATACAAAATGTCTCTCCCCTTAACTACTGGCCACCTGAAAACCACCAACAGAAGAAGAAGTCAATCCTTTAGTAGTGGTAGTTGCCTTTAACTTTTTTGGATGGAACAGTCTCTAAATTATAAAAAGATCCAAGTACAGTACAATACTTTCCTTGATGTGAGAGTAAATTGACAATATCTTAGTCACTCACAAACACTTTGATTGATATTCTCTACAAAATAATCCTACATAACAAGGTAACAACTATCGGAACACTGATGCATTACTACATCTAACTAACGCTTAGACCTAATTTCAAATTTTTATAATTTCACAATAATATCCTTTACAGCACAATGATTCATGAACTAATTTAACTGCCCCATCTCTATTTCCTGTACTCTAGTGCAGTTCTTTGCTCTTTCTTAATCTGCATAACTTTTAATATTTTTGAAGACTGCACGTCGTTTAATTTTTTAGCATGTCTGTCAGCTGAAGTTAGCTTAATGTTTCCTCATGCTTAGACTCAGGGCATGATTGCTGGAGACCATAGAAGGCCCTCTCTTCTCAGTGCATCTTACAGCTGGCGTACTAGTATGTCCACTCTGATCACTGCCAAGCTTCTCCACGGCGAAGCTCCTCTTTCTCTTTTAATTAGGAAGTACTCTGTGAGAACTTATTCTGAGACTATAAATATCCCACATCTTATAAAACCTTCCATATTTATTCATTAATTTTTCAGTAAACACATATGAGTTGCTTATTTGTTTGTTTTTTTAAGACAGGCTCTTGCTATGTAGTTCAGGCTGGCCCTGAACTCACCACGTAGTCCAGGCTGGACTCAAACTCACAGTGATCCTCTTGCCTCAGCCTGCAGGGTGCTGAGATTACAGAAGTGCACTATTACATCCAGCTCTCTTTATTTATACGTTACTGTCATCATTTTAATGTTACATTGGTCCTGATTTGGACAATGGGAAGTCATCTGAGCTACCTTCTAAGTGATGACAAATAATTTCACCATGTTTTGAATGCTTCTTTACTTTTCTAGACAATAAAATGTCCTAGGCTCATACTATATATTTCATAACTCAGCTTTAGGAATCTGCTATTTTGCTCTAATGAACCCTCATTCATCGAGAATACTATATGAACACCAAGAGCTGGGTGCCAGGTTTGCAATCAATAAAGAAAAAAAGCTCTACATTCACAGATATCTCCAATTCAAATTCAACAGTGCGGAGTCTGTTCTAGGTTCTGCCCTTTTACAACTACTTGCTCCAAAAATAAGAAACTAGAGTTATTTTTTTCACCAATCTTCAAGCCCCCATCCCCCACAACCTCCCATATATAACAATGTCCTATTGCTGACAAAACCTCTTTGTTGCAGAATGGCCGAGGCTCTGTCAAATCACTCCAACAGCTGTCACCACCCTCCACATGGGCTTCCTCCTTATGCCACCGCCAACTTATATATCTCATGCTAAGCACCTCTTCTACACACATACCATCTATGTCCAAAATCCAAACCCCACGATAACACTACTCAAGTGGAAATCCTCTTCACCCTGGTGCATCAACAGAACTCCCTTTCTGGGTCAACAGGGTAGATGTATAATGCAGCTATTTTCTGACTGCATTGTTCAGGAAAGAAAAAGTTAAAAGGAAGTGAAAAGCAGAGACAGCAATGAAAAAGAGTGAACTACCTCTCTTTCGAAAACTAAAAGCTGTTTCACCTATTATTTTATTTGCTCTTGAGAAGAGTCATATACTGTAGTGTAGGTTAAGAAAATGAACTTAGGAAGCTACAATGTAGTTCAGTGGCAGAGTGCTTACCTACAATGCACAAGGCCCTAAGTTTGACTCCCACCACTGGAAAACAAACAAAAAAGAAAGAAAATGAAATTAAGAGGGTTAGGAGTATGGCTCAGAGATAGAGCATTGGCTTAGCATGTGCAAAGCCACATATTTGACAAATGGCAAATGAAGTAAGTAAGAAGTAAGTAAGGCGTGGTGGTGTAGCTCAGAGGCAGAGCCCGTGTCTAACATGTATAAGACTCTGGGTTTGATTCCCAGCACTGGAAAAAAAGAAAACAACCTTATGAACGAAACAGAATTTTAAGTTCTGGTTCTCCTGCTTGGTAACTCAACAAATTAACAAGTTACTTAACACTGGTTAGCTTCAATAAAAGAAGCTGATTGTTCAGGAAGTTTTTCATTTAAAGCAAACACATGGTTATGAGCCTAAAATTAGCACCCAAACAATATATGTTATTATTACTTTCTTCTTTTATCTTTCATTAAATGAACATCAAAAGCTCTTTATATATATGTACATATTATGAAAGTTAATTTTTTTTTTAACTTCTGAAACAGTATCCCTAAAGACATTAAAAAACTATTTATGGTATTTATAATTTTACGACTACTTAACCAAACCACAGCCTCCAATATATCCTAACACCTTTGACAAATTATTTTCTAAAACTTTTGCGGGATTATGTAATTCTCCTAAAGCAAAGTATCACCGCCTAACAGCCTAGCAAAGAAAGATTATTTAAGCTAGCAATCAAGGCTCAACACAAGATGACTCCAACGTATCTCACTTCTCACTGCTGCAAACACTGTAGTTTTAGACACCTTTCCATCTGCCAGCCCATACTTACACTAGAATTGTCTTACTCCCCTTTACTCATTTCACAGTATTCCACGTTTTTCAAGCTTTTGAAAGTCACTAAGAAATCTACCCGCTTTGTGAAACTTCCCTTCACTACAAGCTCTTCGCCCCTTAAATTCCTAAAGAAACAAATGATATTATAATTACTGATTTTTTAGTTTAGAGAAAGGAAATGGTTTCTATCTCCAAACAACTACCACTTATTAGCATATATACTAGTTACTTTTTCAATACTTCACTTTTATAATAGTTCTATGAAATCAGAGCCATTTATCCCTATTTTATAGATGGAGAACTCAAGGCTCAAGGATGTCAAAATATGTGCCTCAAATCACACAGCTAGTAAGAAGCAAAACAAGCTTTCCCCCAGCTTGTCTCACTGAACCTGAGATATATGAAATGAATCTGTACAAGCTGGTAGAGGAAAGACTGTCAAGTCAAGCAAGTTCAGAATATTAGCAATGTTAAATCACTACTTTTACCGAAGCGTTTCTCTTTCCAATACTGATATTGTGCTTTATAAATTTGCAAAGGACATTTGTTACATTTCCCAACATATTTGGGAATAAAATCTTTTTTCTCAATGACCATCGACCTTATAGGACTGGTATGCCATGTGACTTATTTCAGAAAATGGGCAATGTATTTTGTCTTTGCACAGGCCTCTGCACATAGTAGACACTCAATACACATTTCATGAAGAACGAAATTTACTCCTTAAAGTAACATGTAATCCCATCCCTCTTATGAGAAGTTTTAAGTATAATAATTACTAACTATTCCAATTTTAAATATTAATTTCATTAGATAAGACTAAAATCAAGAGGAAGAAAATTTCTACCTGGGATTTTATGATATGCATGAATCTTGACATCAACTCAGGACATTCAAGGAGAAAGTGAAAGTGGTCAAATATAATTTTGGGGTTTCTAAAAGAAAAAATACTTTGTGAGTGGACAGGAAAAATGAGTACTATTAAATGACATGCAAACAAGAGATCAGGAAGTAAAGGCAAAAATGTGTGTGTTAATCTCCATCTACTACATTTTCAATTGTTACTAAGCAATTTTCAATTGTAACAGAAATAGCTTTTTAGATGAAACTATATGTAAAGGAGAAAAGGTGGCCATGGCAGTCTCTGAATCCCAAAAAGCCTTACCTATTAACAAAGCATTTTAAAACTTCATCATGTTTGCAGACAAACTCAATGAAGCGAGGTGAAGTCATTCTGTAGGAGGTAAAAAACAGTAAGAATACATAGATGCAAATTGGTATATGATTTAGCAAATGTGATAAATACAATGAATTGGACCACCTTCTAGAACTGGAATACCCTTCTAGATTTTTTTAAAGAATTTGGGTTTAGATCTTCTTTATAGAAAACTGAGGCATACCTAGTAAATTTGTAAAATGAAATAAAATATCTAACTTCTCCTTAATAGATGATATAAGGGCCAGGGATTTAGCTCATTGGTACCACACATGCCTTGCAAATGCAAGGTCCTAAGTTCAATCCGCAGTACTGGGGGAAAAAAAAACTGATGATATAAACATGTACAAGAGATTCTATAATAGGTGACATTCACAACTTATACATCACTTGTTAAAAATTTAACTATTTTGTACCAGATCTAGATTTGTACAATGAGTATCCTAAAATAAGGTCAAAATAGAACCTAAAATGAACAAATATTATTTGTTGTGACTGAAATTACAAAAGTATAGCTTTTCTTCATTTATCAGGAAAAAAAATAAGCTATAAACTTCTTACCCTGGAGGCATCTGACAAGAGCAACACATGTAAAAAGCTTGAATAACAGCACTTAGCCGGTTGGCTGTCATAGAAATAACATCCTGACAATCTGTACTGCCTTCCTGTTTCCCTGCAAGAGCATCTGGTTTAGATTCTCCTGTGCCAGTCGATAGATGTTCATAGCTCCCAGGTCCTGGAGGTTCAAATGGTGGAATGGAAGTGGCACCTTGATCTTGGCCTTTTTGTTTCAGTAAAATAGAAGTGATATCCGTTGAGTCCTTCTTGTTTTTCATCAATTCTGTAGCTATTAAAACTAGCCATTCATCTAATGAGTGCCAAAGCAATTCCAAAGGCTAAGAGAAAAAGAAATATGCTTTTTAATCCCTCTTAAACTACAAGATGAAAAAAATCAAAAACAAAAATCAACTCCACATAGCCAAATAGTATAAAAGAAAAAATATTAAATACTTCTACCTTCCCAAGTTAATGACAGTAAAGATTAAAGGTAAGTAGCAAAAACAGATAAATGTCATATATATGGCAAATTTCTTCATTATAGCAAACATTTAATCTGTATGTACAAGATATAATGGAAAAATATGATGAATGTTTAAATCTGTATTTTTTAGAATAAAAAGGAAAACTAAAATCTAACAAATACTTCATAAGCAATCTTATTTCAATTTTCAAATATTTCGTTTTTTTAAATTGCACATTATGTTATAATCCCCCAACATTTACTTTATTATATCAACAATTTCAATTACACAAACACATCTCTTTTCAATCTAAAAAACTGAAAATTTTAAATAACCTAATAAACAGTTTATTGTTCTCCCTTTTTATGTGTATTCCTAGAATTTTGATAATTTATGAGAAAAATTATAAAATGTAGCATCTTTATACTCACATAATATACGCTCACACATACACACACCACAATCCAAAGTTGTTAATAATATTTAAAACAAAAATATAAATTCCAAGGGCTGGGGATTTAGCTCAGTGGTTCCACCGCCTGCCTTGTAAGCACAAGGACCTGAGTTCAATACCCGGTACCAAAAAAAAAATCTACACACCAAACCTCTATAGATACTGACTAGCAAAATTTTTGGCATTAGAGCTCGAACCCAAGTCTTACATATGCTAAGCACATGTTCTATCACTTAGCTATACTCCCAGCTCCCAGCAAATTCTTAATTCCAAATAAAGATTAACAGATTAAAAAAAAAAAAAAGCAGAGAGGGTTGCTTCTTACTCCTAGACAATTTTAAACACTCCTACTGAGAATAATGAAATGTATTCTGCGATTTAATGTTAATGCAAATAACATTTTTTAAAATCATGTCATCACAAATGCTGTAACAGGATGAAATACTAAAGATAAAATATCAACTTAATATATAATAATTTGTGCGGGACTTGGTGAGATATGTTTATAATCCCTGCTTTCTGAGAGGCAAAAGCACAAGGATCACAAGTTCAAGCACAGGCTGAACATACAGGTTACTGAGACCCTGACTCAAAATAAAAAATAATAAAGGACAAGGGATTTAGCTCATGCAAAGGCCCTGGGTTCGATCCCCAGTAACACTTATAGTTTTTTAAAGAAACAAAAATATAAATGCCCACCTACTTTATTAAAAGACCTGCTGGAATTTTTTTTTAATCCTAAATAAAGATTAACAGTTCAAAAGGGTGTATAGGTTAGCAGTCAAACAGTCTGTCTTACACAGTATTTTAAATACAATACTCCTATTAAGAATGTGAGATGTATTTCTGCAAATGAATATGAAAATTGATCTTATTTTTGAATCTTAAATTATCACAGAAATTAGACCATGTGCTTCTGAAAGATCTGCCCCTTAAAGAATTTCAACCCAAGAAATAATCTTACTTTTAGGAACCACTATGGAAAGAGATCATACACCCATTTTTAGGACGTCTGAAAATGTTTAAATAACCTATTCTACAAGGAAATTCTTTCTAACTATTACCTAACAAAGCCTTCAATGCATCCTCAGCCTTTTTTTTTTCAGATTTCTGTAACATTATTTTTCTAAAAATATTTTGCTTTTTTAATTGGCAAATAATTAAATTACCCCTCGTCATTATTCAAAAAGTAAAAATAAAACAAACTAAATCACCACTACTACAGACCAACAAAACCTTGTTGATTCAATGAACCAGTGTATTAGGTAGACAAGAAAGCAGTATTTCCTTTTTTAAAAGAAATTAATTTTCTCTCCATAAGGCTAAAGCATGTACCTCTCTCATCTACAAAGAGGGCTTTTCCATAGTTAGGCACAAAAGTTGGAAGAGTTATGGTCCCTGCTGCTTGAAGAAAGGCAAAATCACTGACTGCCATGAACTCTACATAATACCATCGCTAAAAATGTCTTAAAATTCTAATCACAATCCAAGTTGATTCTCTTCAGAAGCAAAAATTAAACGTGGTATAGGTAAGAAAGAACTTTATATGTCAGCAAACTAGCTTTACATCAGAAAATAAACTTCCAAAATGGACAGAACAGGTGGTAACATAAAACTATTTTAAACAAAGGGGAAAAGAATGATTGGCCTCTAAATACAAAGTAATAAAACCTAGATAATCAACACATTAGATGAAAATGAAGTCTAAGTCAAGACATAATACAGCTGATCATGCAGATGAGCACTGAACCTACACCTGTTACTGAACCACCTGTTATCCTATTTTCAAATGCTGACAATGAGCAAAAAGGTGAATTTTGAATAATCCAAAAATAAGAAATGGAACTATGTGAAAATAATAATGACAAAAATACTAAAAAGCTAGGAATACACCAAAGAATCAGAAGAAAATGGAGAAAAAAGTAAACCTTTCTGAGTCTCTTTCTCTCCCCCTCCTTCCCTGCCTCTCTCTCCCTCAACCTCCCCTCACTCCCCTCTTCCTCTCTTTCTCCCTCTTCCTCTCACCGTATCTATGATGATTTCAATATTTATAAATAATAAAATAGGGACATTCAACACTGTACATATCAATTATTATTGAAAAATGAGCCAATTGCTATGGAAGAAGGTTCCTTGGCCCTATAAAAGTAGCACTCCATTTCATATTCTTCAGTGATTTTCACTATGGAATTATATTTCTAAACAATGTAAAAATGACATGACTATCATACATGATTAATAAACATTTTAAATTATACTTCAAAATATATAATATATAACCCCAAAGTTACTGAAAACTTTTAAAAATATCAAAGTGTGCTGAAGTGAGGTGGAATTTGACAGGAAAACATGACTAAGTTCTTTAATAGTGTTTACAGTACACCAAAAATCCCTCTCTAAGTCTGATGCTGCTCAACTTGGTAATGTCAAATATCACAACCCAAATGACAAGATCACCAAGTTAAATTTCTCAATCTTCCTTGGCTTCCAAATTACAATCCTATGAAATCATTAACAGTCACAAACTTACTTTCCTAATAAAGAGCACATCATAAACTGTCTTCCCCATGTTCATTCTGCTGAGACAATAAAAACTTTCACCTTCAAATATTTCCAAAGTTCCTGAAAATTAAAAGTCTCTTAGCACTGAAAGACTGGTCCTGTTGTGATTAACTTAAAGAACTTCTAAAATCAGAAAATAACATGATGCTAAACAACTTCACCTACTGAAAACATATATCCTTAAACCCATTCATTCTAATGAAATCCCATTAGTTAATCCTAACAGTGAAGTGAAAGGTTAAGAGTACCCATTAATGAAATGGAAAGTAAAGATCAATTGTCACTACAGAAAAAAATGTGGTAAAAGTTAAAATGATATCTCCAGTCTAACACTTCAGCAACTCAGCAAACATTAAAGATTTTCACAACTTGAATCACCCCAAAATAAACAGGAAACCATATATGCACTGATGTGAATGCAGTTTCTACTTTTATCCTTGTGATAAGGCAGATCATTTTGTCTGACCTTCAGTTCATAAAAGTGGATGAAAACAGACCAATAAACTCCTTAGGAGTTAACATGTGTTAATGTTTTTAAAAATTAGCTGTATTTTGGAATACAAATGTTTTACCAAAAAGAAGTTCACAATTCAAGAAAAAATAAGCAGTCAATAGCAAGAGAACTTGTCAATGATGCTGAAAATACCTTTAAAAATGAAGTAAAGATACTAATAAACTGGAATCTCATATATATCATGTATACACAAATTTTGGATTCTATTTTTAAAAAGAAATATAATAATAACCTTTTCTACCTGCTATATATATATATATATATACATATATATACTGACTGCCTATGTAGAAAACTAACACTTAAAACAAGCATTAAATGCCCATTAAGAGGATAATTAGGACATCATTCCTCATATATTTTTCAATACGTCAAAGACTCAAATTTTAACAAAAAAGACAATAGTGAGTATGAGTTATATGCAAGCTGGGTAACAGTGATCATATCCATAACTAATCTGATTTTTATTTATCATTACAGATGAGTAAAATGTAAAATCAAGGGTAGGTTCATCCTAACAAGAGTGAACAATGCCAGAACACACTAAAAACAACTGTGTGCAATATGAATAAGCAGCAAAACTCACAACAGTGATGATAAAGAGTACACTGATAATTTAGATTGAAATTTTATGAAGACAGCAAATTGCAAATCCCAACTAGAGCTGGTAGAAGTAGTGTGTGAAAAGTCAGTCTGAATCAAAAGGAGATGCATAATTTTCTTCTTCCAGAAGGTGGCACAACAAGAAAAAGAAATGAGAGAAAAACAAAGAAATACACACATACATACCTACATTTAGCAAAAAAGGTTCTTTCTTACTCTGATTATTCAAAAAGAGAAAATGAAACGAACAGATGGATAGACACTTTTCCATATCTCTCCGAAAGAATATCATACTTAGTAAGAAGGAAACTGTGTCAAAAATGATGCACTTTTTCATAAATATTTGCCAAAATTTTTCCAGGTGTTATAAACAAAGCCCTGGGTTTGATCCCCAGCACCACAAACAAACAATTTGTAAGAAAAGAATCACTTAAAAGAAACTATTAATGTAGTTCAACGTTTACAGATAGTAAAACTCTCAATCCAAATTAGTTTTTAAGGAAGTAGATATGAAAACATTTATACTACTTTTTGGATGGATCATCTTGTATTTATACTCAAAAGTTTAAGGAAATATAGGTTTTCTTGAACTCCCAAAGCAAATTTTATACCACAAAACTTCTCAAGCAAAATAAACTTTAAAAACTAACATGAAAGCTAAGACGTAACTCAGGATGTAACTGTCTAGCATGTGAAAAGCCCTGGGTTTAATCCCCAGCATCAAAGGGGTAAAAATAAAAAAAACAAAACAAAACAAAACAAAAACCTCACCTAAGAAAATTATTAAATTATGCACTGCATCAAAATCTGAGTTTTTAAAAATATAATGCCTTGAAGAAGTACTAATATCAACTATATATGTTCATTCTGTTTACTTCATAAAATTATACTATAACATGCTTTGGGTTCTATTTGGAGTCATTCATTCTTCTAAGGATTCCATCCATTTGAGCGTGTATAAAAGAGACAGCAGAAGCAATCCAAAATATTTTAAGAAAATATCTCAATGACTTTTTGTTGAAGTGATCCCAAGAATTAATGGTTATTACACTAGTGAATGAAAGTAATCTTATTTTTAAAACACACACAAAAAATTTAATAAAAACTGGGTATCTTCTCCCCCCAATAAATATTTTCAAATGGTGGCTATGATATGAAAAACACCTAAGTCAAAAATTATACACTAATTATCTCTACTCTTAAATACTACTGGAATAAAAACTTTATGTGTAAGAAAATGTACACGCTCACCAATTAAACCAGTTGTTTAGACAGAGTTGACAGAAGAAAGGTGTATGTAACTTAAAAAGTGATACAGATATGAACCAAATTTACCTCCTGTTCCTGAGATTTCTGATTAATGAATGCATGCTTTGTCAAATTCATCTCTTTTACGTCTATCTTCCTAACAATATCACATACTTTTCTGACCTTGAACACCTGGCTTCTTGGAGTTTTATTTCCATTGTAGCCCATATCGATGCCATTACTGGGAGAGGAAGGACCAATTCGAAAGACATGACAAAATATCCTTATAATCCTTAAAAGGCTCTTCATTTGTGCATCATAATTGCTAGATAGGCTGAAAATGCAAATTACAATATGAACAGATTAGATAGTATCTAGAATAAAACAAATTATATTATCAAATACTTATTTTTAAATATTTTCATCTCACTCTATTTCATAATGTAACTGGAATAAAATTTCTTTCCTATCATGATAAGAGAAATGATTAACAGGAAGATATCAAATATACATTATTAGAATTGCATATAAATAAGTAATTTTTAAGCAACTAGAATATAACCAATGATCAATGCATAAAATATAAAGAAAATTCACCATATAGAACAGTTGGTATCTTTTATTTCCAAAACAACTGTTAACTTTCATTTCCAAAGCTATATTTATAAATTAAACCATTTAGAACTCTGAAGAAATCTAAAGACACTTCACAGAGCAATGGTATAAATGTTATGTTTTTAGACCAACAGCTCAAGTATTTCAACTCTGAGGTCCAAAACACTCTGCCAGTATACTATATTCACTTTCCACCCCAGAAAAGTAACCAACTGTTCACAAATACATTCACAAATTGAGTGATCTTAAAGTTACTATCTACACCACAGTTGGTCTTTATACAATGGGTTCTCTTATGAATCTATAAACGTAGAAAATATACCCTATCATTAAAAAAAGACAAAAAAATCCAACTAACAAACACTAAATTGTACTGAATACACTACAAACTTTCTTTGATCAGAAAGATCTCTCGTAACTTGGGACTGTACCTTGGAATTGGCCAATATTATAAATTGCTATCATAACTCTTCCACAGAGAAACCCCAAGAGAATTTGTATCGAATGTAATGACATATCTATGAACAATTTTTTAATTATTCAAGAAGGGATTTTATTTTGAAATCTCTAACATCAGTTATGTATTAGAGCTGCTGCACAAAAGCAGAGTGAAGAGCTGAATAATGGTGTGATCACACAAATTTAGTTAACCAAAGCTCACTCTCTCTTTCCCAATATGTATTTTAACTACTTCATTGCAACATTTTTAGATATTCTTAAAACAATCTTTAAAAGTTAAATAATGTGTAGCTAGCAAAAGCCTTACTTCCACGTCTTCCAGTTTGAGAAACACAAAGTGGTGAACCCAAACCAAAATTTGTTATTTTTACTTCAATATTTATGTTGTTTTCTCATGTTAGGAATTACTAAATTATTTTGTTGAAGTCAATAAAAATTAATTACCAACTACTAATGTTGATAATATATAACTGTTATTGCTTTCAGTACTCTTATTTCACTGGAACAGCTACAGCACATTAGCAAAAGCTTTTCATTTCAGAATTGATTTTTACATATTTGTCTTTCTAAACTGTTTCTAATTTTTATATACAATTGTGACACTAACAAAACAGAAATGTAGCTTCACTGTACCTATTTCTTTTACTGTTTACTGTGAAAAAAGTTAACTACAAAGACTCAAATACAACGACAAAGATGTGAATTTTATTTCCCTCTGCAAAATCACCACTTAGCAAATACTTATTTTACTTATCTGATCCAAGGAATATTTCATGAGTTATCCTTTCAAGTAAGAAGGATTTTCTTCAACAATGAAATGTAAACCATCGATTATTAATATAACCTAATAATTTTATATTACTTTATCCAGATAAAATTTCTAAGCTAATGAGTTAGAAATACCCTTTATTCTCTCTCTAACCAGTGAAATTTCTCTGCGTTAAAAAAGAAAGATTATGAAATCCAAGCTTCATTACATCTTTCTCTGGTTGAGTATAATCATTTCTTCTAAAGCCACCATACCTCAATATGAAAAAAAAAATTTAATTAGCATTCTACGGATACACACAGACAATACTCAAGTAAAATAAATAGGATACAGTTGAGTAAATACCAAATAATTTCTCTGGTGTGAAAAACTAAAAGTATAAATAAGGTTCAAATGATACAAAGATAGTGTGAAATAGGAAGAAAAGGTCTAAAGAAGGGCAAGTGGGAAGGTAGGGGAAAGGGAATAAGGGAAAAGAAAATGTGGAAAAAATGGAAATAAAGTCTTTCTAAATAGGGAAGGGTGAAGAGGGTGAAGGGAGGGCAGGGGAACTGGGAAAAAATAAGAACCAAGATACATCAATGTAAAGGCACAAGATCCCAATGATGAATGTAACTGTATTGTTTACCTTAAATGTACCAATAAACTTAATGGGGGAAAATTAGCATTCTAACAAAAGGACCCTACAATTCTAGTGAGTCACTCAACCTCTCCAGCAGGAAGTCTGTTGGACCTAAGAGGTCAGGAGTAAATAAATGTACACATTTCATGTACGTTCTTCATAAAAGAGGGTCATTAATGAGGGAAATATCTCCATGCTTTCATGGAAAGCCATATGGTCAACCAAGACTATGACCCATCCTGGAAAATGACACAACTGGTAGAGGAAAAAACTATAGGAGCTAAGAGGCTCTTAACACAGTCCCAAAAGTAACCTCTGAGAAGCCTCAATTAACTCTGATAAATTGCAATTAACACAGTTCTTACTCTGAGTTGGTCTTCAACACCCGGCTGGAAATAACCAAAAGGGGAGTGGAGGTGGGGAGCTAATAATATATAAAAACAAAAAAGCTAGGATTATATAAAAAGGGGCTCCAAACATAGCATTAGCCTCAGCTGCATCCATAACACCCTATTTTTCTTTTTTTTTTTTTTTTTTTAGGATTGAACTCGGGTCCTTCTGCTTGCAAGGAAGGCCACCGAACCACTGAGCTAAATCCCAGGCCCATGCACCCATAACATCTTAATCTACAGCCATAAGAAGTCATAGTTCCAGTTTCACTAGCTCTTTCAAATACGTGTCCTTCACCCTCTCTTAGAATATTCCCATTATGTTATTTTAAAATACTTTCAGATACCACTCAAGTAAAAATTTGGCTTTTTGTTCAGATATGCCTATAGAGAATAAAAATTCTAAATATAAACATTTTAGCTACTATGCTGTTATCTTTGTGATATGAACTAACTCTTAGTTTGCCTACTGCAGCCTTTGTATGTCTGTGTTATCTGGAGGAGGTCACTACAAAAAGTCTTCAAGTCTACAAAATTCAAGTTTTGAGTCCAACAATAAAAATTTTAATGACCAATAGTCACAGAAATATATCTTTATTTAGTGTATCCTTTCATTGTTATAATTAAAATAAGACTGCACTGATTTATTGACAAAACAGAGAGGAGTCTATATGTTCTTGAACTCCATTGTTGAACCTGGGCACACAACTCACAAAAACAAAGGTCAGTATTAAAAGGCTAATGTCATATGCAGCCTCATTTCATCTTATTTCTACCACTTTTCACCAATATTCTACTTTTAGTTTTTGGCCCTTGCTTTTTTAACATGGTTATGAAATAAAGTTAAATTATTTGCTAATGTTCTTATCCTCTTTTCCAGAAAAAGGATAACAGTTCATCACACAAACCCTTTTTTTTTTTTTTTTTGGTCTCCTTTAGAGCAGTAAGAGTGAGGCTTCTGATCCCTGGCTAAGCAGGTTCAGTAGCTCCACCAGCCCGAAGCAGCCATTGGAAGAATGGACCCTCCACTCCTCTGCATCCTTAGGAAAAAGGGATCAAAGTCTTGGGGTTGGAGGAGATAAGGTAGGAAAGAAAAATATAAAGATCGAAAGGCAGCAAGGAAAATCATAATGTAAATATTGCACTTATAAGAAAACTACAATTTCAGGACACAAAGTTACCCAAGGTTATCTGTATCTGTACTTCCTAAATTAGTTTATGTTGCTTTTCTTCTAAGTCCATCATACTCCAAATCCCTAAAGATACTTTAAACCCACAGATTAACTTAGTTGTAAAGGGCAGAAACCTGATCTTAAAATAAACAGGTTGACAGAATTCAAAAAATGTTTTTAGGCAAAACATCCTAGAACAGTCATCTTTAAAAAAAAATGTAAGGCCAGGCATGGTGGCACACATCTGTAATCTCAGCACTAGGGAGGCTGAGGAAAGCTATTCTCAAATTGGAGTCCAGCCTGGCTCCTGAGTGAGTTCAAAATCAGCCAGGGATACATAGTATCAAAAAGCTAACAAACAAAATTTTAGACTAGGCTCATGCCTTTCACCTGCAAAACGGGCCCATTAATTTCCATGGGTGGGCCATCCTTTTGACCAAAATGGAGCATCCTTCATATTCAAGAAGTCCAAATTTCCATTCCCCAAAATACATAAATATCCCCAGCTCCAGACTATAGTACACCTCTATCTTGGGGTCCCACAATCTTATTTTCCTTGAGCGTATACTTTTAAAATTCTGACTAATCCCATTATTCCTCTTTTAAAAATTAAAATTAGTTTTATAACTCAAACTTCTACTCACCTTTGGTTTATTTAAAAATATATTATCATATAGAGTGTCTTTCTTACTTTAACCTATAATATGTAATTTTTAGCCATGTGTACACCAATAAATACCTCTACTTTCAATCACAAATATATGCAAAAGAAAATACACTCTCATTTCAATCAAACACAAGATGTACAAAAGAACATCAATAAATATCTGTTATATGTTGTAGTTTCAAGTTTGAATGTTCTCTAAAGGCTCATGTGCTGAAAGGCTTGGTCTCCAGCCTGTGGTGCTACTGGGAGGCTTAGTTGGGGGATGATGTTATGTCACAAGGGGAATGCACCTGAATGGCTGCTGGGATCTCTCTCACACTCCCTTGAAGGCACATGGACTTTCTCATTAATATTCTTTCTCTCTCTCTTCCCTCTCTCTTTCTGTCTCCCTCCCTCCCTATCTCTGTATCTCTCTCTGTTTCTCCTCCTCTGTCTCTATCTCTGTCTGTCTGTCTGCCTCTCTGTCTTTCCTCCCCCCAACCTCCTGACTCAAATTTACCACAGAATAAAACCTCTGAAACCATGTGCCAAAATACATCTTTCCTGTCTTTGTGTATCGCCACAGCCACAGAAAGCTTACCGAAATGTTATCTTTGGCAAATATTCCTAAACTACTTAAGACATGGCTATTCATTTTTTTC